ATGGAAGTACGTAGTCTCTGCTTACCACTCTGGGTGACAGGTGTACGCACTTTTACTATAACTATATGCTTAGGAAAATGTGGATAGACTGTATTAGGGATGTTATGCGTATGACAGGAATGAGGGAAGAGATGACGGGTAATAGGGGAGAATGGAAGAGAAAGCTATAACGACCTTAGATAACTTGGAGTAAGGGTAGGAAGAAGAAGATGAACTTAGTAGCTTTGAAGAGAGCGACGTTCGCTAGATCTGGTGTTAAATCACAACAATGAACGTAATCAGCTTACGTGCAAACAGCCTTAGTTGCACAAGTGATTGTCTGGAACAAAGCAATTACATAATTCCATTCAATATCTATTATAAATACAAGATGGAATTCTCGTAAAATTGTCGTGGTTTTCAAAAAGTCTGGCCGTCGTGACCGCAATTTAGTCTGGAGGTAAGAATTAAAAAGTAGTCACCTAGTAGTTGTCACCCCCGAGGACTAAGATGGAATGCCTCGTTACCAGTAAGTTGCTATTTTAAGCTGGTATTCTGCTAGAGTGTGGTCCTACCTACCCCGGTAGAGCCGACTAATTCGTGCTCCAACTAATACAGCTACCGCGTGGGTCCACCACGTCGAAAATATATACAAAGTATATTATTGTTACGTGGTAGAGCCATGCTGCAGCTATATTAATAGTGTAGCTGTAGCACGAATGGGCCGGCTCGACCGGGGAAGGACCACGCTCTCACAGAATACCAGCGTAAAATAGCAGCTTAATGCTGCTGTGTTTCATATGGTGAGTGTAGAGAACCGGAGACCCTTTTTACTGGAAACGAGGCATTCCATCTTAGTCCTCACGGGTGACAACGCATGTGTATTTTGATTCGTAATCGAGGGTAGATGTAAATGTCTATGGGCCACAGCAACTACTTACCATCAGGTGGACTGTGTGCTCGTTTGTCACCCTAATTCTATAAAAAAATGTTAGATTTGGACTTTAAAAACGTTCCTTATACAAATAAAACTAATGACAGGTCTTCCTTTATAAAATCAATGATACTAATGTCCTCCACACCGAATTTCGGCCACGGTGGCCAGTCTAGTCAGACTAACCGTCTGCGCAGGACAGGATTATAGTGCCCAAGTGTATGCGCAAGCACAGGTGACCACGCTATATTCCTTAATTCTCATAGGCTGATGGGACGGTAAACCGACATGACCGGAGGGAGATTGATGGAAAGAGTAAACAGTTAACTGCTTTTTTTTGTTAGCCCGACCCGGGATTTCAACCTGGGACCTCAAGATCAGCAGTCGCACTACTACAACCACTGGACCAACGAAGCATGCGCGTAATTCAACAAAAATCAATGATATTTATTGAATTACGTCGTGGTTTACGTCGTAGAGCCACGCTGCAGCTATATTATCCCGGGTCGAGCCAAAAAATCAGTTATTGAGCTTTTCCATCAAGAAATTCTCAGTAGCTGCCCGTAGTCAGGAAGCTGGCGGTGTCTCACCCCAAAGCACGTAAAGCCGCTGATCCTGTGCCTGATCTCTCTGCGGTCGTGTCGGTTTACCGTCCCATCGGACTATGAGAGTGAGGGAATAGAGTGCACCTGTGCTTGCGCATACACTTGGGAAGTATAATCCTGTCCTGCGCCGATGGCTAGTCTCCGTTGAGACTGGTCGCCGTGACCGAAATTCGGTCTGGAGAACATTATTATTATATTATCGTTGTAGCACGAATGGGTCGACCTAACCGGGAATGGACCACGGTGTCACAGAATACCAATATAAAATAGTAGATCAATGCTGCTTTTCTTTTTTAGTCTTTTTCATCAACTTTCGCATGATGAGTGTAGAGAACCGAAAATCCTTTTTACTAGTAATGAGGCATTATATCTCAATCCTCAGGGGTTGACAACGCATCTGCATTTTGATACTAAATCGAGGTTAGATGTAGGTGTATGTGCGCCACAACATTCACTTACTATTATGGACTGTGTGCTCGGTTGTTACTCTTATTCTAAAAAAAAAAAATAGTATTTTAAACCATTGAAGAACCTCTTCTTAGTTTATTTACAGTTGAGATCCAAGCAAATAACTCGTGTTTTTTTCTCTTTAATTCATTACTCGTTTTTACCATTCGTTTTACTAATTAACTAACATAAATACAAACAAAAGGCCGATGGGGTGAGATCGATTGGTTGAACAACCTATACGCAATCGCATTTATTCATTTACATTTGAATGTTTTTGAGGAACGAGTGTTTATAAAACTTATACTGATAGGAATAATTCAAGAGCCCTTAAGCATCAATAATAAAGGAACCCTCTGTTTATGAATACTTGACAGAGATATCGTTCGTTTTAATAATGGAGATTCTTTTCATCTTTCGTTATCTTCATCTTTTTTATTAGCAAATCCTTTGAATGTGAATTATATGAAGGGACGGTTTAAATGATATAGAGTGATAAGTCTGGAAAATAAACTTATTACTCCTGAACACACGTTCTTTTAAAATAACAGAGCAACTGTCGTAATTGTCGCGGTTGACCGGTTGACACTTTTCTAGTCGCTGTTGTTAATATTTAAGTACGAACGAAATGTGATGAAACTTCGCAAACAGATGAAGAGTTATCTTAGCTATATTTAATCCAAAAAACTTGTAGATATTGTTTGTGAAATGATGACAAATGAGAAATTGATAAAAGAAATGGTCATTGACGATTATAATGAAATAAAAAAATAATGTTTCCGGATTTTTTGCTGTCTCACAGATGGGCCGGCTCGAACCGGGGTGGTACCACGACCTCACAGAATACCAGCGTGAAGTAGAGGTTTACTTCTGCGTTTCGCTTGGTGAGTGCAGGTGGCCGGAGGCCCTTTTTACTGGAAATGAGGCATTACATCTTAGTCCTCACGGGTGACAACGCATCTGCATTTTGATTTGTAATAGAGGATAGATGTAGATGTCTATGGGCCGCAGCAACCACTTACCATCAGGTGGACTGTGTGCTCGTTTGTCACCCTTATCCTATAAAAAAAAATTATCGCGTTTAATTTACTTATTTTTAATTCCCGACGTTTCGAGTGCTTTACAGCACCCATGGTCACGAGGGACTGAGATGTTTGACATCTCGATTTCGTAGTTGCCAGGTTATCTTCAGTTTTTGAATATTAATTTTTGGTCAGATCTGTGCAGAACGAGCTTACAGTATCTTCAAGTCTTGCAGTGGTATGATTGGGTTTGGATTTAATTTTGTTAATTATGGGATTCCCACAACAAGTCTCTCGATTACAACGTTGTAAAGATTGACAGTGTGTCGACGAGGGTTGCGTACCTTATTCTCAGAATCACCAAACGGTATTCGCCTAAGGTCATACAGGTTTACGCACCAACCTCGGCACATCTCGATGAGGAGGTGGAGGAAATGTATGAGGATATAACTAGAACCATGCATTCCTCCAGAACCCACTATACGGTGTTAATGGGAGACTTCAACGCAAAACTAGACACAAGAGAGAACGGTGAGCTGAAGGTAGGGAAATTTGGAAAAGGGCAACGAAACCCAAGGGGCCAGCAGCTGGCCGACTTCATGGAGAAAGAGGGACTCTTTATGATGTACTCTTTCTTCCAGAAGCGGCCCCACAGAAAGTGGACCTGGTCCAGCCCCGACGGTTCGAGAAAAAATTAGATTGATTTCGTTATGACGACCAGACGACACCTATTCAGTGATGTCTCCGTGATCGCGAGGGTGAACACTGATAGCGATCACCGAACGGTTAGAGGCACGCTGAACCTAAACGTTAAGTTAGAGAGGTCTCGTCTAATGAAGTGAACGCTCCGTCCCCCTCGTGCTCTAATCTAATGTCCCGAAACCTTTCAGCTCGAGTTACAAAACCGTTTTCAGGGCCTAGAAGACTGCAATGAAGTGGACGATATGAATGAGAAACTAGTGGAAACTGTCCATGCGGTCGGAGCTAAGTTCTGCAAGACCCGCCGCAGAAGAACACAAAAAGTCTCCGATCACACTCTTAATCTCATGGCTGTTAGACGGGAGATGAAGCTGCAGTCTTCAACAGATTTGACAGCATAAAGGCAACTGAACAGACAGATCTCCAAATGCATGCGGCGGAACTTACGCAACTTCAATACAGCTAGTATTGAAGAAGCGATCGAGCAGAACCAAAACTTCAAAGTCTTTGCCAGAGATCTGTCTGCCAGTAAAAGCCAACTGTCAAAGCTGAAGACCGAGTGTGACCGAGATTCTGAGTGAGGTTGAGAGGTTTTATGGGCAACTGTACACGTCATCGTTGGAGCCACAAAAAGTGTGAGTAACGATCCAAGTTGAAGTCTTTATGAAAACACAAGAATAATAGAAGTAACTAGCACACAATTCGCCGCTTGGAAAACAATTTAAGTGCTGATTTACCAAGTTCTCGGCGGCGCAGGAAAATATCGTGAGGAAACTTTTTTTAATAGGATATGATGACAAACGATCACACAGTCCACCTGATGTTAAGTGGTTGCTGTGACCAAAAGACATGTAGATGTATCATTAATAAAGAATCAAAATGCAGATGCGTTGTCACCCGTGAGGACTAAGATAGAAAAACTGTTTTCCAGTAAAAAGGTCTCCGGTTCTCTAAACTCACCATACGGAACACAGCAGTATTAAGCTGCTATTATACGCTGGTATTCTATGAGAACGTGGTCCTCTACTACGTAAATAAAATTTATTTACGCTATTTGTGCGATATTTTCATTACGAATAAGAATTCTATATATCTTTAATTAAGGATAAGAGACAATTAGACGGGTACTTGATACCTCAAGGTCGCGTCTAAACCGACATTCCTCTGGTATAGGTTGACACATGCGCGTTGTTATTATTTCAAAATGAAATATCATATTTCACTTTACCTGGTATATATTCGGATACAATTCTCATTACGAATCGTAGTCAGTACAACTGTGTCACATAGAACAAGAGGTATTAGTCGCTAAAAATGATGCAGAAGCTATCAATTTTATTAGGGCTGATCGTCTCGGCAACTTGCATGTTGTTGCATCGGGAACCTATACCGTTGTACCTGCCAGTCCAGTACCGCGAATCTACGCCGGCTTACAATTTCGGCTATGAAGTCAACGACGCTCACACTGGAGACTTCAAAAGACAGCAGGAGAGTCGCAGAGGAGATATCGTGTTGGGACAGTATTCTCTTCTCCAACCAGATGGGATTTTAAGAACAGTGGAATATAGAGCTGATGATCATACGGGATTCAATGCAGTTGTGAACAACGAAGGTAGATCTAGCAATGCCCCTACAGACCGTCAAGAGGAAAGCGGTAATGATGCGTCGGAAAGACAACCAAACGAAAGACCTTCAGTAGAACAAGCTCGACAGCCTTCTAACGACCAGCAGTCCACTTTGTCGCCACCAACGATTTCGCACACGTCTGTTGTCCATCACATACTTCACAGATGGTGAACCTCTGCTAAGTTACCCAACAACTTCACCACACGCGATGGCATATTATGGACTACTGACTACTGAATCTACCTTTATGTAAAATTTTCTTTTAAATCTTGTTCTTTTGCAATTGAATGGAATAGATGATTTTAAGTGATTGATAACCGGGTTCGAAACGTATTCCGGTGTAAATCTCTACATTGAATTACCCTTCTGTATTTCAACTCCTCTGGTCCTATGAAATATCATTCTTGTTTTTTTTTTATATTGTTTTTTTTATAAATTTCATATGAAGTAATATTAACTTTTATTTCCTTTTCCTAGATAGTTGTTAATGATGTCAATGTTCCTGATGTAACTAATCGAACTAATGAAACTAATATACGTGGAACAGCTGTATTATTTTCATTTTATTTATTAAGCTATACAGACAAATGTACAAAGGTATTTATAAAAGTATTATCAAAAAAGAGTATAGTTATATGTACATTCAACACCGTATACGAGTGCAACGTATTAGTATAAACAATAAGTAACGAGTTGAAGATAAAACGTTACTATCGTTTTCTCTTCAAGTCGTTACTTATTGTTTATTTTTAACAGTGGTAGAGCCACGCGGCAGCTTTTGCTGTCACACGGATGGGCCGGCTAGACCCGGGGTGGTACCACGACCTCACAGAAAACCAGCGTGAAGTAGAGGTTTACCTCTGCGTTTCGCTTGGTGAGTGCAGGTGGCCGGAGGCCCTTTTTACTGGAAATGAGGCATTCCATCTTAGTCCTCACGGGTGACAACACATCTACATTTAGATTTGTAATAGAGGATAAATGTAGATGTCTATGGGCCGCAGCAACCACTTACCATCAGGTGGACTGTGTACTCGTTTGTCACCCTTATCCTATAAAAAAAAGAAACTTATATTAAATGGGGACTATTAAAAGGAAGATTTGTTGCAATTAATTTAAAAGATTTCCCTTCTGAGCGCGTCTACGTGCTGTTTTCGAGAGTCATTAAGAATCATCTCGCATGCAGACTAGACGACTTCCAGCCTCCGGAACAAGCCATTTTCCGAAAAGGTTTTAGCACCATATACTACATACATACCCTTCAAATTATACAGAAGTCCGAGGAGTACAATTTGCCACTATGTCTGGCGTATGTGGACTATGAGAAAGCCTTTGATTCCGTCGAAATTTAGGCGGTGCTGCAGTCCCTTCAGCGGTGCCAAGTTGACCGTCGGAATATCGAAGTATTGAAGTGTTTGTGCAGTAGGGCTACGATGGCTATCCGAATACAGAACCAGAGTACGAAACCTATCCAACTGCAGAGAGGTGTAAGACAGGGTGACGATATATCACCGAAACTCTTTACCGCTGCATTGGAAGATGTTTTGAAGCTTCTGCACTGGAAATGATACGGTATTAACATCAACAGCGAGTACATCATTCACCTTCGATTTGCTGACGATATAGTCCTAAGTATTATGCTCAATGAGCTCAATAGTGCCTCCCAACGGATAGGTCTTAAGATGAACATGGACAAACAAAGATCATGTATAACGTCCATGTCACACCATACTGGTAGTTGTTGGGAGCACTAAGCTCGAAGTTGTTGACGGGTATGTTTACCTGGGACAAATAGTCTGACTAGGTAAGTCCAACTTCGACCGAGAGGTCAATCGACGGATCCAACTCGGCTGGGCAGCGTTCGGGAAATTACAGCAAATCTTCACGTCAGGTATACCTCAAAACTTGAAAACGAGACTGTACAACCAGTGCGCGTTGCCAGTGATGACCTATGGAACTGAGATGTGTTCTTTCGCTGCTGGCCTTATGAGGAAGCTCAAGGTCGCTCAGTGAGCTATGGAAAGGGCTATGCTCGGAGTTTCACTGCGTGATAAACTTAGAATAGAGGATATCCGCAGTAGAACTAGAGTAACCGACATAGCCCAACGGATCAGTAAGATGAAGTGGCAATATAGCTCGAAGGGCCGGCCATATAGCTCGAAGAATCGACATCCGATGGGGAAAAAAGGTTCTCGAGTGGCCGCCTCATACCGGCGGGCAAAATGTAGGGCGACCCCCCACTAGATGGAGTGACGACCTGGTAAGATATACAGGAAGTCGATTGATGCAGCTAGCTCAGGACCGTGCTTTTTGGCATTCCTTGGGGGAAGCCTACGTTCAGCAGTTGACTTGTGAAGGGCTTTAATAATGATGATGATGATGGTAGGATTCCAAGCAGATGGCCGCACCCATCCGTCTTCTTTATTAAAATTCGCACGTGTTTTTATTTCAATAGCGTCGTCATTGATGATTACTTTAACAATACTGATTGACATTAATAGATCCTACCCAGGCGGAACCGGGGTGGGCCGCTAGTCTATAAATATAATAAAATATACACGAAGCCTCGTTGCTATATGTAACATCTCACCGACGACTAGACGATGTTACAAATAGGCTCGTTTATGTTAATTATTCGACTTAGGTGTACACAATGTGATAAAGGAGGTCCTATATTATTCCATGCATATGTAGATGTCGAGACAGTTTGAAACTCGTCACGTTATATAGCGCTGAATTACGTAGCGAGGTTGGACACAAATAGAAATCAGTTATTTAACGAATGCGGGAGATGAACGAGTTTAATCTAATTTACACTGCCATTTAAATTGGAATTTCAGTAGTGGAATTAGTTATTTTTGTGAATGTGTCCAAATTAACCATGTAGTAGTGGCGGTGTAAGAATATCCCGAGGGTGTCGTAAAAGGCGACAGAGGGAAAATGAAACGATTAGATTGGCAGCAGCATTTTCAATATACTAAAATCAAAATAATAAAAAACTGCGGTTGCCAATCTGCTTGACAATCGTGGCAACTATGGCAAAATCACCCCATGATTCCATCTATGAGGGAGGCCTATGTTCAGCAGTGGACTTTTATAGGCTGTAATGGATGACCACACATAAAAGGACGCAGCTGGTCAGTGCTACCTGCTAACTGAGAGTTATGGGTTCCAGGAGTAATTCATAACGACAATATTTGATAGCTCAAAAGGATTAGCGCTTGGCTTAAAATTTCAAATTATTTTTTTATAGAATAAGAGTGACAAACGAGCACAGAGTCCACCTGATGGTAAGTGGATGCTGTGGCCCACAGACATCTACATCTATCCTCGATTACGATTAAGATAAGGACTAAGATGGAATGCCTCGTTTCCAGTAAAAAGGGTCTCCGGTTCTCTACACTCACCATACGAAACACAGCAGCGTTAAGCTGCTATTTTACGCTGGTATTCTGTGAGAGTGTTGTCCTTCGCCGGTCGAGCCGACCAATTCATACTGTCATAATATAGCAACCATAATATAGCAGCAGAATAGTTCTACCACGTAAATGTCCTAATGTCCTCAGGGGTGAAAACACACATGCATTTTGATTCTACTCAAGAATAGATGTAGGTGTCTATGGGTCAAAGGATGCTTTGTACACGCACAGTCCACCTGATGGTAAGTAGATGTATGTAATCATAAATCTAATCAATCAATAATCGTAATAATAAAGGTGGAGTGTGTTCCCATTAGACATTCTAATGTTATAAAAAATAATACCTGTGAAGTGGGAACCCCGTTAACACTACTCAAATTGTCAATTGCAACATTAGGTACTCGCAACATTACGATCTCGGTTGTTGAACTCCGCGAGGAAACCTGCGTGTCGGAGAAATAAAAAAAATAATACATATTTCGAAGTTCGTTAATAAATTCGTTCGTTAGCAGCGCGGTAGACTCTCCTTTGCCTTAAGAAACCCTTTCGTAAATTTAAGCATGAGTGGACTTTTAGAGGCTGTTTTGGATGAATGGATGGAAGAACCACCTCCTTTTTTTAAAGTCGGTTGAAAGGTGTTTTTTTTAAAAACAAATTCTCAAATCTTAATAATTTGAAATCGAGATACGTATTTTAAGATGAATAAGCGTACAGGGGCAAAGTATTTGCAAGTGGACTTGCAATACTATCGTGTGGGCAGTTGAAAATCCACGCTGATACAGTCATTACACTTTAAAACAGTTACACTCTTTATGAAAACACAAGAATAATAGAAGTAACTAGCACACAATTTACCGCTTGGTAGATCAATGGTGAGGATTGGGACAAACGGAGAATCTGAGTGTATATCAAACCCAGCAGAGCAGGTGTATGTGATGGCTCTAACATAATAAAGAACTAAATCTTACAAGGCGCAGGCCTGTCTCACTCCGCACTTTAGGCATGAAAATATACCTACGCTGCGCGGCCCCATACAAGGGGCTAATTCCGTGAGGTTAAAACGTGTACGTTCGAGCTGACGCGCGCCTTACTAAAAAAAAATGGTGTCAAATGCATCGGATGACAGTTACTGACAATAGATATTTGACACATAGCCGGGATGGATGTTTTGACTGTTGAGGGGATAAAAAAATCTGATCCACGAATAAATTAAATTCTATAAATTATAATGAAGATAGAATTCACAGAAGAAGCCTCACCGAGGCATACATTTTACCGTACATATACAGTAAAACTTGGTTAAGTGGGACCTAGATAAGTGAGAAACCTCCATAGCTGGAACTCATGCTTTGGTCCCGAAACTTTATCACTGAATTACCTACCTCTGTTAATGGGACAAGACACACCCCTATATCTAGGATTAGTTCTTTCGATTTTATCGTTATAATTACCTCTATAAAGACAGCGAGTGTATTTTACCTCTTTTACTGGCTATATATTTTAAAGACTATATTTTAAGGATTAGTTCTTTTGATTTTATTCGTCCTAATTACCGCTATAATTGAGACAGTGAGTATATTTCACCTCTTTTACTAAAATAATATTTTGTGTACCGTTTTGTTGTCTAATTCGCACACAAATTCTGCACTTGGCTAATTGTGTAAAAGTGATCTCCAGATTTAGTTTGGTTTTGCTATCGTCCGTTGTTTATTTGAAAATGTCTGTATGTTAAGTTTTTATCAGTACGGTGAAAAA